TCTTTCTTTCTTTCTTTCTTTCTTTCTTCCTTCCTTCCTTCCTTCCTTTCTTTCTTTCTCTTTCTTTCCTTCTTTCTTTCTCTTTCTTTCTTTCTTTCTCTTTCTTTCTTTCTCTCTCCTTCTGCCTCCTTTCCTTCTTTCGAGTTTTCTTCCACAAAATGACTAATATGAAAGTGTGTTTTACATGATTGCATGTGTATAACCTACATCAGATTGCTTACTGTCCCAGGGAAGGGGAAACAGAGGGAGACAGGCATAGAATTTGGAGCTCAAACTTTAAAATGAATATTTAAAATTGTTTTTACATGTAATTGGGGAAAATACAATATTATTTTTTAAAAAGACAATATAGAGAGGAGGTTTCAGCTCCAAGTAATATGGAGAGGTCCAGTATTCTTTAGGGTAAGGGGACAAAGTAGATGCTAACATACCTCCTTTAGTGTCATTTCAAATGCTAAAACAATTTGTTTCTGAGGCTGAGCCATGTGGCAGTGCTAAGGACTTTGGTGGTGAGAATCTTATTTACCAGGGCTTAAATAACTGTAACCACTTAAGAAGCAATGACTGTGGCATAGGCAGACCATGCTTTTATATGGGTCATTCTTCCCTAAATGATGGTTTCAAGGGCTGAGCTGGAAGAAGGGCGGTGGTTTGGGAAACATTACTATTCCCAGAGTTCTTGAACTTAACTTTCCCATCCAGGGGAACTGGACAACAATTGGTATGGAGGTGGGGTGGGGGAAGATGATTAAGGGAGAAGGCTGTTCTGGAAGCAGCACCAGTAGTCTGTGGGCCATTGCTGTTCCCAGGACTCTTGGGCAAAGGGGGACTGAAGATGAATCAGAGATAAAAGAGCCTAGGTGGGAAAACCATATGCCCTGACGTCCAGTATTTACCACTGTCCCTCTTCCTGAAAAGAGACCAAATGATTCATAGGATTTAGAACTGGAAAGAACCTGAGATGTCCTCATTTGAAAAATGAACTTGCTGAAGATAGAGTAGGAGTTTTTTCTATTACAGATTGTTTATTACCATACTTTAATCTTCCACAGGGCTTAGCCCACTATTGTATACATAATGGGCATGTGCTAATTAAATGATCCTCTTCTATGATCACAGATTTCATCCCCTAATTTTACATACCAGGTAATAAAGCAGACTTACTGAGAGAATGTGGATTAATTAGTAAAAAACCTATAACAATTTTAGGGGAAAAAAAATCTCAGCAACTCAACTAATTTCCTATTTACTGTGGGTCAGTAGTAGTATCTTGGTTTATAAAAAGGGCAGTTACTTTGTATATTTGAAAGAATCATAAGATCCTGAAAGAGAAGCTCATAGGTCATGTCAGCCAGTCTCTCTTTTTATAGATAAGAAAATTAAAAGCCACACAGAGGAGGTGTGGCTTTTCCTGTCACAGAAGTATTAATTTGTTGTTGTTCAGTCATTTTCAGCTGTGTTTGCCTCTTTGTGACTCCATTTGGGATTTTCTTGGCAAGGATACTGGAGTGGTTTGCCGTTTCCTTCTCCAGCTCATTTTACAGATGAGGAAACTGAGACAAACAGGGTTAAGTGACTTGCCCAGGGTCTCACATATAGTGAATGTCTGAGGCCAGATTTGAACCCAGGAAGTTGAGTCTTTCTGATTGGAGGCACAGGATTTTATCCACTGAGACACCCAGCTGCCCAAGTATTAATTATCAGAGCCATACTAATCCTAGGTCAGCTGCCTTAAAATCTAGCACTCTTTCTGCTGTTCACCTATGTGTTGTGGATGGATATCAATAACTGAGATTGGGGTGTGTGTCTTTTTTTGGTGTGTTTTATTTTTCAATTAACAACCATGATAAAGATTGATTGATCAAGATAATATGCAAAGCATTTCACATACCTTAAGGTATTATATAAATGCTGTTATTTTTTGTTTGTATCTCTAATAAATAGCACGTACTAGGCACTTAAAAATTTGTGTAGGAAGGGAGGAAGGCAGGCAGGATAAAAACATGATCACATCTCTCCCTCCAATCCCTCAACCCCCTTCATTTTGAAGAAGCCGATGGAAAAAGTTATTTGCTTTGGCTTTGGGAAGATCCAGGCAATGAGACTCTTGTAACTTCTTAGGCACTTTGCCTTGATTCAAAGAGGTACCACATAATCTAGGTTTTCTAATCCCTGCTCAGTTATAAATTCTGTAACCTTGGACAAGTCAGAAGGATCTGGGTTCCAATAACATCTCTGCTACTTTATTAGCAGGGTGACCTTGGACAAATTGTTCCTGTTCTCTGGGCCTAGATTTTCTTGAATGTAAAGTGAGGAGGAGGTAGGGGATAGTTAGTCCCTTATGGTCCCTTCTAGATTTATTTCTATGTTCCTTCTATGTTAATGTCTCTAAGATATCTTCCAGTTCTAAATCAATGATCTGAGGCCAGAAAATGAAACCTTTGGAACTAGCAAGCATAATCAAGGGAAACACATTTGTAGATCTTTCCAAAGAGAAGGAATTTTCAGTAGATATGATTTGCAGAGAGCATATGCTGCCCTAAGGGTTAAAAAGAAATCAAGGGTTGCTTTGTGAAGACCCTCCTAAGGATCCTGTAACTTGAGGATGTCCTAAAGTTCTTTTCCCCTCTTGAAATACCATAAAACTTCTCCTTATCTTGTAGGACCAAAAGAATTGTTTTATTTTCTCCCTTATCCTATGTTCCTGTCATAAAATTCCTCCTTATCTTGTAAGCAATCATCTCCCCTAGCCTGTGTCATAAATTCTTCCTTATCCTCAATCTTCAACCACCATAAAACCTTAAAACTATGTCATCCTGAACTGTCTATACAAGCCTGGTCCTCCCAAATATCAGGGCCATTAATTAACTACTTGCTAACTAGGCCCACGTGCTTCACTTGATAAAGCTCCCATTGGCAACAGAGACTAAGTGAATTCTTTTACATTCCAACTGCTCTCCGCAATCTGACCTCAACAAATAGAGATCTCGGCCTGGAGTCAAGAGGACCTGAATTCAAATTTGGCTTCAGACCTTTATTGCTTGTGTGATCCTGGGCCAGGCACTTAACTCTTTGCCTCTGTTTCCTCATGGAGAAGGAAATGGCAAACCATTCCAGTATCTTTGCCAAGAAAACCCCAAATGGGGTCAAGAAGAATTGGGCAAGACTGAAAAACGACTGAATAACAACTGGGATTACAGAACAGGTTCAGAGTCAAAGTATAAGGTCCTTGGGCACAACAGCTCAGTTTATTTGGAGCATGGTCATACATGAATATTTTAAGCAAATGTGATTCCCCAGGTTCTCCAGTTAGGCATATGAGAACTTCTCTATCACTCTGTAGATGATCTTGGAGAGTTGCTGTGGCTTTAAAAAAAGCCAACAAAAAACAACACCTTCACCCTTTGGCCAACCTGGCTAAGAGTCTTTGCTAATTTAGCTAGGCTGGTCTGGAGACAGCCGACAAACAGCTGTCCTCCAGGCGCTTTTTGGGGGCCCTTCCAGTCTGGTAGCAGCTTCTGGAGCTGGTCATCTGGCATGGCATTTCAGAGAACCCCAGCGTCACCTTCTAGCCGCTGAAGGCCTTGGGGAGGACCAGCTGTAGTGGACACCAGCAGAACACAGGAAAGATCAATGCAGACTTAGCTTTATTCGAGTTGTTCTTTTCTCCTGGGTGGGTAGGGGGCAGCTGGGACAATCTTCCCACTCAGTGTAATTAGGCGCCTCCACACCCCGTACATCCCGCAGACCCATGCCCGCTCCTGACTGTGTCAGAGCCTTGGTCCCAGCCCCTTCGCTGCTTGAAGTGGGCGATTCCAGGACGTGGACAACGGGCTGAGTGTTGGGGGTCGAGGGTCTAGCTGAGTAATTGACAAGGGTCAGGGCTCCAGCAGAGTCCAAGCAGGGTCGGGACGGAGCTGGAACTCCAACTCAGGCACTGGGAGGGATCTGGAGCTTAGCCTTAGACGGGTGGGAGGTAGGACCCAAAAGGGTCGCGACGCGGTGACTGAGCACTCGTGGGTCAAATTGCGGAGGCAGAGACAGGGAGCGAACCGCGCCTGAGTCCAGGCTGTGGGTTAGAATTGGGGCTGAGGAGCCTGGGGAAGGGGTGAGAGCCGAGCCCGAAGGGACTGACCGAGGAGGGAGACCCCGGTAGGGGCGGAACCCCGGGGGAGGACTGAGGACCTCGGAGCGTGGCCTGGGCTGGAGGGGCCAGGGCTAGGACTGGGGCCTGTGCGGAGAATGGGTGATGCCAGGTTAAAGCCCGGGAGAAGCAGGAAAAGGATTGGGGATTGGGGGGCCGACCCAGGCCTGGATTGGACCTGGGGAGGGGCGACGTGAAGAGGGGTCGGAGGAGGGAACTGGATGGGAGAGGGGTGGGGTCAGACTGGACCCTGGAAATGGTAAAATGGGGACACGATGGAGAGGGAATGGCAAACTACCCCAGTGTCTGCCGAGAAAACCCCACTGCTGAAACACCTCACAACTGGAGTTGGAGATGGGGCGCGAGAGGGGGCGGAGTTAGATGGGGGAGGGGAGGAGTTAGAGCGGATTCTGGAGGGGAGGGGGTTTATTGAGGGGCCGGAGGTGGGGCCACGATTGGAGAAGCGAAGTGATTAGAACGGAGGCCGGAGGACGGGCCCTGATTGGAGGAGGGGCGGAGTTAGAGGAGGGGCGCTCTGTCTGACGCGGCCAAAGCGGAAGGGGCGGGGTCAGAGTGGAGGCGGAGCCGGACGCCACAGGGGCGGGATCAGAGGAGCGTGGGCGGGAAGGGGGGCGGGGTCATAGCTTCGGGACGAGGGCGGAGGCGAGGGCGGAGGCGAGGGCGGAGGCGGAGGCGGGGGGTCCCGAGCCAGAGGCAAGCTGCTGTCTAACAGATCCCCGGAGCTTCGCTACCCCGCCGGAGCGGAGCGCAGCCGGGCGAGGCGCATGGAGAAGGGCGGCGGCAAAGGCGGGCCCTCCTCGTCGAGCCCCGTCGTGGTGGTGGTCGGCGGCGGTATAGCGGGGCTCGGGGCGGCGCAGCGGCTCTGCCGGCAGTCGGTATTCCGGAATCTGCGGCTCCTGGAGGCCACTGACCGCTGCGGGGGCCGCATCTGCTCTCAGCCCGCCTTCGGTAACCTACGCCCCCACCCCCTCCCCAGAGCCCCTCTTCTCAGGCCAGGGAGACCCCCGCCCGTCGCTTGTGGTAGAATCCGGACGCTCAACCAGGGGGTCCCCGGGATGGGGGCATCGATACTCCTTGACCCTGGTCATCAGAAAAGGTCGCGGGAGGGAGGCACCTTAGAGGTCATCTAGTGCAGCCCCCTGACCGCAGGGCGACAGGGGGGCCCGTGGCCCTCGATTTAGAGCTGGAAAGGACCTTGGCAATCACGTCGTCCAGCCCTTCTTACCGAAGAGGAAACTGAGGCCTAGACAGGGGAAGCGACCTGCTCGACATCCCGTGGGAAGGAGCAGAGCCTAGGTCGCCCCGTGGGGGTGCTGGGGAGATTGCCTCGGAGAGGTTGAACGGTCCGGTCTGTTGTTGGTCTGAGAGCGGAGAGAAGGAAGGTCAAGTTCAGCAGGGAGGGTAAGTCGGGAAAGCATCAAGATGATGAACTTTGTTCCCACTTTCCTTCCACTCCCTCAGGTGGTGTGATTGAGATTGGGGCGCACTGGATTCATGGGCCCTCCGAGAACAACCCGGTCTTCCAGTTGGCTCTAGAGTATGGCCTGCTGGGTGAGAAAGAGAAGTCGGAGGAAAATCAGCTGATTGAAATTGGTGGCCACCCTGGTCTGCCCTCTCTGTCCCTCTCCAGCTCTGGCAAAAATGTGAATCTCAAGTTGGTAGAAGAGGTGTCTAATCTGTTTTATACTCTATTAGACCAAACGCGTGAGTTCCTTCATATGGCAGAGACCCCTGTCCCCAGCGTGGGGGAATACCTGAAGAAGGAGATTGCTCAGCTCATGGTTGATTGGACAGAAGATGAAGCAACCAAGCACCTTAAACTGGCCATCCTGAACACCTTCTTCAACCTAGAATGCTGTGTGAGTGGGAGCCACAGTATGGATTTGGTTGCCCTTGGATCCTTTGGGGAATACTGCACATTGCCAGGGCGAGATTGTACCTTTTCTGAGTAAGTAGATTCCATTTCATAGTGTGCACCCAAAGGTAGTTGTAACTTTGGCCTGAAGAATTCATTTCTAGTGGTTTGATCCAGTTGGGGATACCCTGTGACTCATAGCGTTAGGATGAACACCAGCTTTTGATTCTAGTTTTCCAGAGAAAATGCTCAAAATGGGGGTAGAGGGGGTGGTAAGAGGATTTTAGAATGAGTCACATTTCCATTTTTCTGTTCCTGAGCATTGCTTTTCCCATCCTCACCCCATTCCTCCAAAGAAGCTATTTTTTTCCCCTTGGCCAATCAGTTCTTGAGGTTTCTCTCACTTAGGTAAAAGGGAAAGGGCTTATAGATTTGCTTGATCTCAAGAGAAAATAACTAAAGGAAGGAGAAGCATTTTTTGACATAGTATCCTGTGATTCTCCCGAAGACTGAGCCACTTTGGGGAACCAATATTTTATCTTTCACCTGATTTGTGTGTGTGTGTGAGAGACTCCTGTTAAATGCATATGACTTCTTTTGGCCATATGATGGGTTCTATTGCCCAGGAATAAGGATGATGGGTCTACTGTGAGTAGACCCAGAAGTTAGGTTGTTTAGAAAACCTCAGGAGTTGATTTTTCTTTTCTCTGTGTTAGAGCTTGCTGAAACAGCTCCTACATCAGGTTTTTTTTTTTGAGTTGGGAACAATTTCTTTACAAATTTTTTTTTCTCTTTACTGATGCTTCTTGTTATATTACATTCATTTTTGAACCAGCCCTTCACCTCCCCTTGCCTGGCAAGCCTTTTCTTCTAACATGTATTTAAGAGATAAAAGAAAGAAGCAATTTAGTACAACCAACCAACCAATGACTCAATCTTGTCTGACAGTATATACAATATTCCTACCTAGAGTTCCCTATCTCTGCAATGAAGGGAGTGTTTGCTCAACTCTTCCAGACCCAAGCTTGGTCATTACTATTACACGGTTTTGTTTTATTGGAACGATTTTTAGAATGAGTTTCAGCCATCTGGCTCTTCTGAAAAATATTCTGACTTGTGTTGTAACTCTCCTAGGGGGTATGAAGGGCTTACAAACTGCATAATGACTTCTTTGCCGAAAGATGTTATACTGTTCAACAAACCAGTGAAGACCATTCACTGGAATGGCTCCTACAGACAAGAAAATTTTCCAGGAGAGACATTTCCAGTACTAGTGGAATGTGAAGGAGGAGAGAAGTTCCCAGCACATCATGTTATAGTTACTGTACCCTTAGGTAAACATTTTTTCCTCGTTTTTCTTGCTACATTTTTAATCCAAACTCATCTAATAGCTGTAGCCTCTTGTGTGTCTATAACCCTATCTTAAAGATGTAGCCGTGTGTTTCTTATTTCGTTTTTGCTATGTTAGTTAATAAGCTAATTTTAATTTCAACAATGTCATCATTCCTATTTGTATAACCTGTTACAGTTTGCAAAGTGTTTTCCTCCAAACAGCCCTGTGACCTAGGTATTGTGATGCCTGTATTATTAAGGAGGAACCTGAGGCTTAGTTAAATTAAGCTCTTTGCTTAGGGTCACACAGCTAATAAGTGGCAGAACTGAGTTTCTAACCATGGTTTTCTGATTTCAATTCTGGTGCTTTTTAAAAAATCTATATTACTCTTCCTTCTCATTTCAATCATATTCGACTCTTCTTGATCCCATTTAGGGTTTTCTTGGTAGGGATATCGGATTGCTTTGCCATTTCATTCTCCAGCTCATTTTCCAGATTTGGAAGCTGAGCAGGCAGGGTTCAATGACCTGCCCAGGGTCACACAGCTAGTAAGTGTCTGAGGCCAGATTTGAACTCATGAAGATAAGTCTTTCTGACTGCAGTCCCGGCACCCTATCCACTGTGCCCCTAGCTGCTCTGCTTCTTAGTACAGAAAGAGAGACAGTGAGGCTTACTGGAGAATGCTGGATAGGGAGTTAAGAACAACAAGATTGAAATCTTGCCTCTGATAACTGATGACCACTAGTTATGTGACCCTGACCAAGTAATTAATCCCCTTTGTGCCTCCCTAGGATGTAGCAATTTCGAACCACTGATGGATTTGAACCAGAGAATAATGTGATGTGGTGGGGAAAGGCCTAGGTTGGGAGGGAGGGGACCACTTTCCACACATGGTGTGTGTGACCTTGGACAAGTCACCTCATCTCTGTGGGCCTCAGTTTCTTTAGCTATAAATCAAGGGATTTGACTAGCTGACCTGTAAGATTCCTTCTGACTCTAATCGGATGATCTGCTACGTTATTGATAAGTTACAATCTACTTTGATGGAGGCAGTTCCCTTAGCTGAGGAAATCATATCCTTCATGTAGAAGACAAGGGTTAAATATTGAGAAAAATGAGATTTATAAGTAATTATTTCCCTTGTTTGAAATAAGGGTGAGACAACAGTGCAGTAGAAAGAGTACAGAACTGAAGAGTCACAAGATTTGAGTTCAATCGTGGTTCTCCCACTTCCTACAAATATGACCTTGGGTAAATCACTTCACTTGCTCATCTGTAAAATGGGGGTCAGACTTGGTGGCCCCTGGGGTCCCTTTCAGCTCTAATCTATGATCCTTTCATCCTATGACTATTTTCTAGGCAAAAAAAAAAACAAGGTGTCAGCCCTAAGCGAGAAGAAATCAAATGAGAAATGAAAACTATAGTTTTATTTTCAGACTTTTCTTAAGAAAATTCTTTCACTGAATAGAGTAGTTTGAAAATTTGGTAAAATGTGCAATTGGATGAATATGAGAGTTAACATTGTTCAACTTGTAGAGGACGGGGGTGAAAGCTAAGAGGCCTGGGAAGAAGAAAAAGACAACGTTGAATTACCAGGTTGGGAGAGATAAGTGAGGATGCAGATGGTACTGAGGCCACAAACCAAAACATAACAACACTGTAGACATCAGGCTTTGAAGGATTCGTGTGACTGTGCAGCCACAGCTTCCACCAGCAATGGGCCTGCAGCCTCAGAGGTGCAGAGTCATCATAGGATGACCTCCGTGGGGGTCCCAGCCCTGCTCGCATCATGCAGAAGTCATCCAGCCAAAGAAAACAGCCCTCTTCTGTCTTTCGAGGCACACCCCTTTCGGCTGTTTGAAAACGGTCGGTCGAGTTTTTCTCTTCTTCCTGCCTGGAGGCAGCTGGGTGGTGCTGGGCCTGAAATGAGGAAGATCTGAGTTCAAATGCTGCTTCAGACACTTATCAGCAGAGTGATCCTGGGCAAGTCACTTAATCTCTGTGTGCCTCAGTTTCCTTATTTGTTATTTGGGTAATGGGGATTATAATAGCCTTTACCTCCTAGGGCTGTTGTGAGGATTAAATGAGATAATATTTGTAAAGTGCATGGCACATAGTAGGCACTTAATAAATGCTTGTTTTCTTCATTTCCTTTAAGGGATAGTATTGTATAAATGTCAGCATCACTAGGAAGAGCATTTTAAGGTTTACAAAGTGCTTTGCTTAATTAACTCATTTGAGTCTTAAAACAACCTTGTGAGGTAAGTGCTCCAGGCATTATTATTGCCATATTACAGTTGAGGAAACTGAGGCTCAGATAGATTAACTTTCCGCTGTATGCACAAGAAGTAGAGTTTGAATCTGGGTCTCTCCTGATCCTGAGCCTAGCATTTTCCTTTCCATATCATGGCTTCTAGGCCCTACAGATCATTATTCTTTGGACTCATTTGGGTTTATTAATGTCTCTTCTAAAATGTGACACCCAGAAGTAGACACAGTACAGCAGATGTGGGCTGCCCTGCTGGGGACCCAGTGGAACTCTCATCTACCTCAATCTGAGATTCTGAAGATTCACCCAAGATTACTCCAGCTCTTGTGGCTGCCATGTCCCGTATTAGTTAGTGCGTTCTAAACTTGACATCCCCACAAGCCCTCAGGTTTTTTTCATGTGAATTGGAGTGAGCTTGTCTAACTCAGTGTTCCTGGATCCTACACTTATGCATTTGATATTTAGGGTAAGAACTTCAGTAGAGATTAATGTAATCCTGCTAACTTAACTCGAACTCACCATTCATCCTGCTGTGATCCTTTTGGATCCCAATTCTCTCTTCCAAGGTATTAACAGATATCTATTACCTAACTTTGCTGAGTCTTAGCTTTCTCACCTGTAAATGGAGATCATAATCCTTCCTTCCTTCTTTCCTAAGTGACTTGCCCAGTGTCACACAGCTTGTAAGTCTCTGAGGTCAAATTTGAATTCAGGTCCTCCTGACTCCAGGGCAGGGGCTCTATCCACTCCATCGCCTAGCTGCACCACCCTCCCCCCATCATGATATTTTCAGTAAGGGTTTTGATGAGGCGTACATGAAAGGATCCACATCATGTGCTTTGCAAGCCTTAAAACTCTCTATGAATGTCAACTGTTGTTAATATTAGACTAGAGTAGGAAGTCACTTAAACACCTTTCTGTCTTCAGCTAAACAAAATCAATAGCCTAAAAATTTTAGACACTTTTCCATCACGGGAGTGCACATTTCACAGTCATTAAAACTCAGAGTCAGAAAAGTGGTCTGTTCCAGGGGTGGGAAACCTCTGGCAGCGAGGCTACAGGTTCCCCACCCCTGGATTCATTCATTGTCCATATTTGAAAAACCCCTTTTCTGCCCTCTTTTGGCCTGAATACTGAAAAGATTTTGGACTAGTTGTACATGAGTTTTAAGATGATGCGTTCCTTCATGGAGTTAGTCATATCATCACAGGGCTTAGGGTTGGAATAGCCCTTAGTGGGCATCTGGACTAACCCCCCTTTAACAAATGAGCAAATAGACCCAGGCAGGTTCAGTAACTTAACCAAGGTCACAGAGCTAGTAAGTAGTAGAGTGGGAGTTAGCAGAAGTCACTCTTTTTATTAGGTTAAATTCTTGCACTCAGCAGTCTTACTTGACTGGCATCCTCAGACTTTCCCATTGTGAAAAGTCCTGGATTTTGGGGGGATTGAGATCATCTGAAAATTCTGTGTATGATCTCAGTGGACTTCATTATACCTCCACTTAACGATGAAACAAAATCCATGCTTGTTCTTAGTGACATTATACATTAAACAGTGGAATTAAAGTGAAAGAGCTTTATTCAGAAGACTTCAGTGTAGGGGGGTGGGGGAGAGGTATTTCTTGCTTTTGGAAATCTGATCTCCTGAGAAGATTTCCGTAGTCATTTCAGGCTCCTTGGTAGTAACTGCTTCCACATAACCTAGTTCTCCAGGTCAGCATCCCACCAGCTCCTTCTCTTTCCTGCTAGGCTACCCTCAAAACATCAGCTTGGTGAGAGCTAGCCTAACCATTGGGATTCAAAGCTGTGCCATCTTTGTGCTTCTATTTAATTAGTAATTCATCCCGTCTACTTTTATTTTGACCTCAGACTTACGTTTTGATCAGTGATCGCCCAAACTGCTCTGATTTGATTTATTACAGGTGTTCTCAAAGAGCAAATGAATACCTTATTCAGCCCACCACTACCCCGTAGGAAAACAGAAGTGATCAGGAGAATGGGCTTCGGAACCAACAATAAAATATTCCTGGAGTTTGAAGAACCTTTCTGGGAACCAGACTGCCAGCAGATCCAGGTGGTGTGGGAGGACACCTCGCCCTTGGAGGATGTCAGGGCTGAGCTCCAGGACATATGGTTCAAAAAGCTCATTGGCTTTTTAGTCCTGCCTCCTTTGGAGTAGGTATCGGGTTTTGTGTGTTTGTTTTTGTTTTGAGACATTCCTCAGGACTGAATCATGAGTGGATGATGATGTAGATAATGGCAACCAAGTTCCCGGCAATTTGGGGAGTTCGAATTGAAGGGAAGTGATGTAAGGAATTTAATCTTCATGCCCAACCTCTTGATTGGTTCAGAGCCCACCAAGAAGAAAAATAAGTTTGCATAAGTCCTCCTCCTCCATTGTTGCTACATACAAGACCTGGCCAATTTGAGTATTTGGAAGGATAGGTAATATGTGAGGTATTGGAGTCCTGCTAGATGTGGAGCATTACAGAGAAAATCAGACACACGGATGTTACCCACAAGGAGTTTGTAGTTTTGCTGTGAGGCAAGATTGGAGCACAGTGAAGTGAAAAGAGTTAGGGATCTGGAGTCATGGGTTGTTTTTGTTGTTCAGTTGTGTCTGACTCTTCGTGACCCCATTTCCGGTTTTCTTGGCAAAGATATTGGAGTGGTTTGCCATTTCCTTCTCCAGCTCATTTTCCAAATAAGGAAACTGAAGCAAATAGGGTGAAGTGACTTGCCCAGGGTCACACAGCTAGAAAGTGTCTGAGGACAGATTTGAGTTCAGGAAGATGATTCTTCCTGACTTCAGGTCCAGCATCACTGTATCACCTAGCTGTCCTTATCCTTGGTTTTCCAAGCACTGTGGTGCCACTTAGCTGTGCCTGGAGTCATGAGGCTTAGGTTCAAATCCAGCCTCTATTGCTTACTACTTTGACAAACCATTTAATCTTTGGGCCTCAACTTCTTCATCTGTAAAATGAGCATTTTGCATTAGATGACCTGTGATGTCCCTCCTAAATGCATTGGCGATGAAGATAACAAACAAAATGACATTCATCAGGATCACATCAGAGAGTAGCAGTGCTCAGTCACATGATACAGTTTGACATAGGCAGCATTATATGGGAAAGCTAAGGGGATAGAGTGTGGAATTTGGAGTCTGGAAGACATAGGTTCGAATCCTGCATCTTGACGCTTATTTGCCCCTTCTCTGTGCCTTAGCTTCCAAGGATTGATCTACTAAGTCACAGGTTGTGATGACTTACTTTTGGGAGCCAAGGGGGTGTGTGTGTGTGTGTGTGTGTATGTACGTGTATGTGTAAAAAGACCTGTGATTTTGTGGTCTGGAGACTCTCTCTGCCAGCTCTCTAGAGTAGATTACAACCCATCCAGGATTTCATAGATTAGTCCTTGAGAGTTGCCTGAGGCACGGAGATGTTAAGGGGTTCACATAGCTAGTAAGTGTCAAGAAGCAGAATTCAAACCTGTGTCTTCTAGACTCCATACTTAGCAGTTCTATCACACTGCCTTTATACCATGTACAGTTATCTGTATATTTGTGTATGTAGGTATGTGTATACATATATATATGTTTGTGTGTGTGTCAATTTATATATATATGTGATAATGATAATTTGGAGATTATTATGAATAATTTAGAGGTTTGAAGATCTGTTTTGTGGGGAAGAGTAAAGGATCTAAATTAGTATAGTGTGGTGAAGAAAGAAAAATGTTATCTTATTATAGCAAAAGAGACAAACAGCAAAGGAGACTTCAGCACAGCAAGACAGAATGAGGAAGTGGAGGATGAACATGGTCCTTTGGTTGTCAAAGAACTAAGTCAACAGGGGAAAAGTTAGCAGCTTTCTTCTTTAGACCCTGCCAAAGGAGCCAGTACAAAGCTTGCCTGCCCATCACTCAGCATTCTGGTCTCCTATTCCGCCTGGAGTGGTTCCCAGTATCCTTTGTGGCAGGAGATCAGGAGGCCAGGAAGGACTGTGGTTTGCTTGTCTCTTACATACCCAAAGTACTTCCCATCCAGTGAAAGTCCCCTTCTTTCTGTGCAGGTCCACATATGTTCTCTGTGCGTTCATTGCTGGACTGGAATCAGAATTTATGGAAACACTTTCTGATGAGGAAGTGCTTTCATCTCTGACGCAAGTCTTAAGGAGAATAACAGGTACTCCTCCCTTATGTGGAAAGAAGGGACCTGGATTGTGTTTGCTTTGAATTGACCACTGACTCCTCAGTCCAATATTTCGGGATATCCCAGTGATAGAATTGGTCTGTGCATTCCTAAGGAAGGTTCCTCATTATATAAACCCAGATTGATATAAAAATATATATATAAGTAAACCCAGTGCTTGTCTATGAGGTTTGTAGCTTCAGTCTTACTTAGTCCTTCCAGTGACCCTAAATTAAAACAGAGGGAGTTGACTTTAGCCAGATTTTACAGATGAACTGAGACCCCCCCCCAAAAGGGAAAGTGATATTGTCAGGGTTGCACATAGTTGATGGATCAGATTCTACTTTCTCTACTCTTAATCAGTTACCAATTGGTAAGCATTCACTTTGTCCACTAGATTGCATTGCTTTCCTGTTTCTTTTTTGTTTGTTTGTTTGTTTGTTTGGGTTTTTTTTAGAATTTAGCAAAGCTAACATGGCAGAAGGAGCCTTTTGCTAATACACTGTATGACATGGTTTTCTTCCCTGGTGGTGTCTTTCATTTTGGAAAATGCTCAGTCTTTAAAATGAAAAGCAAATTGCAAACATATGGGAGGGAGTGCTGTGTTAACCTGCTGCATCTCTGGGGTTCAGGAAATCCACAGCTCTCCAGGCCTAGGAGTGTGATCAGGTCCAGGTGGCACAGTGCCCCCTACACCAGAGGCTCTTATAGCTACGTTGCAGTTGGCAGCTCTGGAGAAGACATTGATATGCTTGCCCAACCCCTTCCTGCAGACTTCTTAATCCCCCAGGTAAATATTTTTCTTTCTTGGACAATGAACTCTAACACCTTTTTTGATGTGCAGTCAGTCTCTTTTTAAAAATGTTTTATTGGTGCTTTGAAAAATGGCATTGCCGTCACTTTCCAATTGTATCCTCACCACTTCCCTGCCATGCCCTTATACCAAAAATCTACAGTTAAGCAAAACAAACCAACACATTGGTCATGTCTGTTATTGTATGTTGACAATTTCTAAGTGCTCAACTTAGGAACACTTTAAAAAATCTTGGACCTAAAAACAAGCAGTATAAGAAGATGAGGCTAGTACTCTGGCTCTGGGCCTCCTTTGGAGGAGGTAATGGGATTGTGTTTTTTAATTTAGAATCCATACACAGTGATTAGTTAAAGCATTACCCCTTGCCTAGATATGGAGATGGTAGGTGGCCTCTCTCATGTAGATGAATGAAGCTGGCTAGTTCCTGGTGCCCAGAAGCATATGACCCTGCGCCTTTGCCTTGTTGGGAGAGGGGCAGATGGGAATGTGTCCTTAATATTATGAACTAGAATTCAGAATGCATTTTTCAATAGGAACAGTCTTATAATCAAAGGATCAGAAATTTAGAGCAGGAAGGGAACTTGCATTTGATCTTATTTTGCAGTTGAGGAAACTGAACCAAAAAGCTTAAGGAACTTGAGGTAGGTTACACAGGTTGAAAGTGGCAGAGCCTCTGACTCCAAATCCATTTCTTTCCCCTTGACCAGTCCTGCAGACTGGTGGGTGGGAAAGGATGGTGGGAATGAAATCGTATTCTTCTTAGATAACAGTATAGCTGAAACTGTTTTTTGAATCCTCGCCTAAGAACCGGACCATCATTTATAACATTGAAAAAAAATTCATTCGATAAATATAAAGTTATTGTTATGTGCAAAAAGCACCATGCAGGTATAAAGCTTTTTTTTTTTTTAATGACACAGTGTGTGCCTCGAGGAGCTTTTGCCTTGAGGTGAGGGTGTGGGGGGGGTGTGACAGAAAGTGAAGTACAGTATCTCAGTACGATAGAAGGTAGGATGTATTGGTTGTAAAAGAGATATCTTGACAAAGGGTTCTAGGAAATTTTGAGGTGGAAGACAAAACTTTGGTAGGAGGGCAGTGTGAGGGCTTCATGGAGGAGGTGGCACCTGAACTGGGCCTGAGAAGAAAAAGGGCAGGATTCTGAAAGGCAGAAGCAAGGGAGGAGGGCATTCTAGGATTGGGGGATGGCTGAGGTAAAGGCATGGAGGCAGGAGGTGCCACATCCCTTGGAGTGAATGGCTAGCAGCACTGTTGGGTTGGAATATAGATGTCATGAAATGGAAATAATTGAGTTTGGGACAGATAGGTGGTAAAATGGATAGAGCTCTGGCCTTGAAGTCAAGAGGACCTGAGTTCAAATCCGGTCTCAGACAGACAATACACAATACGTACTAGCTGTGTGACTCTGGCCAAGTCACTTAACCCCAATTGCCTAGCAAAAAGCAAAAAAAAAAAAAAAAATTGAGTTCTCAAACACTGACTTAGAAATGAATTTTGAAAACACCACTCCTAATTTGGATACAATACAAATGTATTTGCTCAGGGAACACAGAGGCATAAGTAATGAGAAGAATTAGGAATTAGCACATTCATTTGAATTAGGAAACTTACTGTGTGCATGAGTAAATATTTTTAAGATTTGTCAGTATGAGATCATTGATGCAAAGAACCAATGCATACCATACTTTCAGTGGTACTGACAGTCAGTTTTGTGAGCATTTAGAATGATTAGCGAATTTAGATTTCAAGACCCTTCCTTTTGATCATCAGAAGATGGACAAAGGAATAAGAGTGATAAGTCCAACTTAATCAGCCTATTCAGAGGAGTGATGAGGGGTTTGGTAGAGAAGAAAAAGAACTACAAATGAATCAGCAAGCATTTATTAGGTGCTTGCTGGACTAGGCCTTGTGCATACCTCTGGAGATACAAAGGCATCCATGAAACAGTCCCTGCCACATTCTCTAGGGAAAGGCAGAATAGTGTAGTGTAGAGAGGAAATGCTGATAGTGTCATGCATTTACTTTATCACTCAATTGCAGCATAGCTCCTCCTTTGGGCTCCAACTCCCAATCTGCACTCATGCCAGCAGGTTGGGGACCCAGAATGGGGCTAACTGCCTCTCCCCTCAGGCTTCTGGGGTGGTTTTCTAGTGCTGTCCTCATGAGCCACTACTGGTTTGCTCCTCGTTGGTTATCTAGTTGATATCAATTAGCCAGCCAGGGTTAATTAGATTTCAGGGGTATCTGCTAAGGCAGTGTGATAAGAACAGTGTGTACAACAAAACATCTCCAAAAATCTTGAGCCCAGTCTCTCACAGTTGCATACAGAGGCCAGGGGAAAATGGTTTGGGGGGGAAAGAAAGAGAAAAGAAAAAAAACTTGGAGAGCACGTGTGGCAAGAGGGGTACATCTCAGTCCTGGGAATCCTCCTGCAGTTCCCTTGGCAACTGTGTGGTTCTCTGCTAAGCCCTGAGGATTCAGGACCTTCTGCCAAAAGAACTTGAGCCTTTCCTCACCTTGTCCAGTTTTTCTTCCCCCAACTCCTGACTGGTCTTGACTCTCCAATAACCTAGTCGGACCATGCTCACCTACTCACAGTCTCTGCCCTCGAGTTCCAGGCACAAGGGTCTAGTTCCTCAACTCTAGGAGTTGTTCATATCTGGTTTCTACATTCCATTCTGTAAATCAAAAAGGTGTTCTCAGCTGATTAGGATATCAGGGAGTAGAACATCTTGTTAGTTATATTAATTGGGAGGGGAGTGTGAATGTGAAACCTCCCTTGCTGAGAAGTTTTTTCTTTTTTCTTTGAATTCATCCAGGTTAAGTTCATTTCAACAAAAATTAAGTGCCAGCCACTATACTTGGCCCTGAGGACACAGAGCAAAACTGAATACAGTCTCTGGCTTTAAGGAATTTATATCCTATCCAAGGAGAGGGGCTATAACATACAGACAGAGAGATCCTTGTGAAATAAACTGAGGCTTTGGTTTATGGCCTTTTAATGGATGTGTGCCCATTGTAAAGGATCCTAATATCCTCTTGCTCTTAATAGTTTGGTTAGTAGCCTTTTCATGCCATCTTAAGAATTCAAGGAAAACGTACAGGCCTTAATGGAGAGAACAGAAGCACTATTTGAAATTTTTTTTTTTTTTTTTTGCTTAGGCAGTTGGGGTTAAGTGACTTGCCCAGGGTCACACAGCTAGTAAGTGTCAAGTGTTTGGTCTGAGGTCACATTTGAACTCAGGTCCTCCTGACTTCAGGGCCGGTGCTCTATCCACTGTGCCACCTAGCTGCCCCTGAAAACATTCTTCTTCGAGGCATTATTGTCTTTATTAAAGAGGTCCCATGCCAGTATTTAAGTGAAAAAAAAAAACAAAACAAAAAACAACCTTTCTCTTTAGAGCTGTGATCTCCATGGCAGCAGCGTTCCCCCTTGAGGGGGAAAAACACATTTTGTATGTGCTTCTGGCCCTTTCTGTTCTGATGTAAGCATTGCATTTGACTTGCAGTTACAGATCCTTTTTGCTGGGGAAGCCACCCATCGGACATATTACTCTACCACCCATGGTGCTCTGCTGTCAGGGTGGAGGGAAGCGGATCGCCTCATCAGCCACTGGGACTCAGAGGCCCAGCAGCCAAAACCCAAGCCCTGAGACCTTCCTCCTGCTTCTGCTTTGCTCCCAATGCTGTTCCTCTCCGATGGCTTCACGATTGTTTAGTTATTAGCCACTGTTTCCTCCAACAAATAATTTTCAGTGCAGCTCAGGCTTTCTTTGGGAATGTTGAAAGGCATTCTCCAATTTTTAAAAAATTGTTAGTTGGTAACTTTTATTTCTTGAAGCTATTGCTGTGCTCAGAGTCCTCAAAAAAATTACCATCAGTGCCATGCCTGAGCAGCAAGAGCTAAGTGTTCTGGTGATTCTAAATACAGTGTACGATGAACAGTATTGCACTAAAATAAAGTCTTTTAAGAACACGTTTCTGTTGATCGTTTCGTCATTGATACTTTGGAGGGGACCCTGGGTTTACAAGCTCTGCCAGGTTCTCCCAGATTGGAAAAGTTTCGTGTGTTTCAAGGAGGGTCAGGTTATCTCTGCTGTCAGAAGACTAGCCTACTAGGTAACATGTGTAGATGTATGATGTATACACACATGCATATATACTGTTGTTGTTGAGTTGTTATTCAGTCACGTCCAATTCTTCATGACCCCATTTGGGATTTTCTTGGCAAAAATACTGGCATGGTTTGCCACTTTACAGATGAGCTCATTTTACAGGTGAGGAAACTGAGGCAAACAGGGTAAAGGGACTTGCCCAGGATCACACAGCTAGTAAATTTCTCAAGCTGAGTTTGAAATCAGGAAGATGAGTCTTCCTGACTCTGGGCGCAGCACTATTCATTGCACCTCCTAGCTGCTCCACACTGCCCCACATACATACATACATACATCCATACATACATATATACATATGTATTTTAAATACTAGGTATTCTCATCTTGCCTAGGCTGAATTCTGAGACTTATCATGAGCCAATCCCATTCTATCCACTAGGGAGCTTATACCTATTCAAGTTTCCAGCCTGGACCAGCTTGCCCCTTATTGGAGCCTAGGTAAAAATAATAAAAATTATTATCATTTTACATACATGTGACTTATTAACACTTTAACATTTATAAAGTTATTTTCTAAAAACAACACTGCCAGGGGCGTAGCATAAATAAAACAATAAGAATAATAGCTAATAATTATACGGTGCTTACTACATGCTGTATTAAGCACTTTACAATGAATTTCATTTGATCCTCACAACAATTCTTTGATTCTTTGAGGTGGGTGCTATGGGATGGGCTTGGCCATGTTGGAATGCCAAATGTACACTTACTAAAAAGACTATTTTATGGAGAACTCACACAAGGCAAGCGCTCACATGGTGGTCAGAAGAAGCAATACAAGGACACTTTCAAGGACTTTTTCTTTTTTTTTTTTTGGTAAGGCAGTCAAGTGACTTGCCCAGGGTCACACAGCTAGTAAGTGTCAAGTGTCTGAAGCCAAATTTGAACTCAGGTCCTCCTGACTCCAAGGCCAGAGCTCTATCCACTATGCTACCTAGCTGCCCCACTCAAGGGCTTTCTTAAGAACTTTGGAATTGATAGTGTGATATGGGAGACACCGGCACAGGACCACTCAGCATGGTGTGCCCACATCAGACAAGGTGCTGTGATCTATGAGCAAAGCAGAATTGAAATAGCTTAAGAGAAACACAAGATGTGTAGATTTAGAGAATCCATCCCAAATGTTCACATGGGCTATTCGTGCATGACCTGTGGTAGCACATTCTGAGCTCATATTGGTCTGATCAGTCACAGTTGGACACACTGTAACTTGATTCTAGCATAGCAATGTCATTTTGGTCCTCTTTGAGAACAAAGGACAACAACCATTATTTCTGTTTTACAGATGGGGAAACAGGTAAACAGAGGTTAAGTGACTTGCCCAGAGTCATACAGTTACCGTGTCTGATTCTGGATTTGAAATCGAGTCTTCCTGACTCCAAGGGGTCAACATTCTATCCACTGCACCATCTAGATGCTTCAGTTTGTGGGTATAATTACTCTTACTTTATGATACAGGAAACGGTAGAAAAGTTAAATTACTTGCTCCAAGATCACAAATCTATCACGTCTTGGAACAGGTGGCTCTGGGACCTTTAGTCCTCAAAGAGAATTACAGCTTTCCTACACAACATTTCCTTGCTTGACAAAATGCTCATGATGCTAAGTACTGTTGGGTTCATCACCAGCAGGTTGGCCAGCAGGAGATGAATTCTTTGGCAGTGCCAACCCATAAGACTGGCACAAGATGAAACACCACTTCATTCCATTTGGCCTCTGAGTCTGCAGTGACAGGCAAATCACTTAACTGTAGCTATTAAAAATGTAAGTGCTCTGGACAGTGACCCACACTCCTGGTAAATCACATTCAAAATGAAAGATGGATGGCCGAGAGTATTTCATTGGCATCCACATAATATTAAAAGACCAAGGGGAAGGCTTTGAGCAAGTTGTATAGTCCCTCTGTAAAGATTTGTGGAAGCAAATAGGTAGGAGCTGCTCCAGATGGGAAGGCTTGGCAGGGTCTTGGGCAATTCACACTAATGGAGGGCTTTCTACATCAGTGGATCAGATCCATTCAAATAGAGTTGCATTATTTACAATTTCTGTAGTATTTTATTCTGTGAAAATGGTTTGACCTTCATTTGAATTAGCCACTCTTCCTAATATCCCCAAACAAAGATGGTCATCATTATCCTTATTTGAAAAAGGGGATTTAATTTCAGAGAGAAGTGATTTAGTTGCCCAGGACCATAAAACGTAACTTCCAAAGACACCGTTAAAACTGATAGCCGCAGGCTACAATGGTGGCCAATAGCTTTCAATAGGATGAATTCTATGTTGACGACATTGGGACTGGTAGACAGGATACCGAGGGTGGGGAATGACAACAAACCTAAATGCCCGCTGACGTTGATGAGGTATTTCAGGTCAGCAAGGTGATTTGTGACCATAATTTCATTTAATCTTCATAACAATGTTCTCTTTCCCTAGTTCCAAAATGTTTTGCTCTTCACATTTAACTGGAATCCACTGAACTTATCTGACCTGAATCCAACAGTTTAGCTTTTGTTTCTCTGTTTATAAGTAGGCAATGATTCAGGAATTTATCACAAGATTAAGGTAAGGGAAAAAAAATTGTTTGAGTTTGACCTAATCATCAGATGCGGCAGTTAGGTGGTGCAGTGGCTAGACCTCTGGCCTTGGAGTCAGGAGGACCTGAGTTCAAATCTTACCTCAGACACTTGACACTTACTAGCTGTGTGACCCCGGGCAAGTCCCATAACCCCAATTGCCTCACCAAAAAAGAAAAAAAAGAAATAAGGCTACCTATAAATACAAGGATATTTATTTGAGGTTTATAATATCATTTGTGTTATGGTATTTTTATGTGGAGAAAAAAATTCATAATTCCTAAATGCTTATGCTAATCTACTTGGACTCACAGAGTTTGGCTGAAGCATATCAGATACATAATGGTAATGAACCAATAATGGGACGATTTCTTCAATATGATGTCAAATCTGAAAACAAATGACTAAAGAGTCACAGAGGTTATGCAACCATGGCAGCTCTACAACTGCTGTTAACTCTGAAAATGCCAAAGAACTCACACAGGTTATCACAACCACAGTTAACTATAAGAAATAAAATAAAAACAAAGAGCTAACAGCGGTCATACGCAAAAAAGCTTTCTTTATTCCACTGGAGGAGGGAAACTAGACACATGTACTGGGCAGGAGTACCCACTTTGGTGAGGAAAAGTCTTAATACATACATCAATGGCTACACAATGAGCCCTGACAATGAGGGGTAACAGTAACAATGGGGCAAGTTTGAATCATAGCAGGGCTTCATGACAGGAACACGGGTGCTACAGGTGTTTGTCCAAGCTCAGAGACCAACCGGTGCTGGTGCAAAACAATTCTGGGATTTTGCTGCAGCTGAGTTCATCCAGAGGATGAGTGCCAAGGATTGTTGTTATGCCAGGCTCAGGGCACAGCTTGCTTGCTGGGGCTTAGCTCTGGAAAACAGAGTGTCTCATCATCATCATTATCATCATCAAGGGGTGATATGGGCATGAAGATCCTGACAATGGCAAACCAAGCAAATGTTTATGTGCTAAGGAGTGTACCATGAATAGAAAGCCATCATCTCTGTGTTACTATTGGGGCAGATACACAAAGATCATTAGTCCTACTACCGCTCAAAAATTCAGAACTCAAATGATCCACCAACCTCAGTCTCTCCAGCAGCAGGGATTACAGGCTTGGGTCAGCAGGATTTCATTCTTCAGGGCATAGGGTCAACTCCTGAGTTTTTACCTCTAGAATTTTATGATCTTTTTTATCCTTTACCTGGAAACTTTGAAATTTGCTTTCCTAAAATCTAGGGTATATGTCAACTTATTTCATGTTCATGGTCCTTATTTTGATTTAAGCAACAGCTGCCACTTGTTTGCCAGAATCAGGGGCAGCAGATCAGTTCTCCTCATCTCTTCTACCTTTGGAAGGACAAAATTACTATTGAAGATGACATCCCAATCTATAGATTCAGGATTACTCTCTCTCCTAAACTACAGTACTGAATTTCCAGCTTCCTTCTGGGCTTTTTCATCTGGAAGTGTCACTGATATCTTGAGCTAATCATGTCCAAAGTGAAATTTATTAGCTTCCACCCTCTGACACACACACTGCCTCTGCGATCCTGGACAAATCACTTATCTTATCAAGGTTGTAGGTAATTCAATAAGACTATAAATGAAACAGCAGATATCTATTTGCTTTGGTGGCATTTCCTTACCAGGAATTACTTTTTTTTTTTGTTTTTTTTTTATTAAATTTTTTATTTTTTTATTTTTAACATGTGTTTTTAAAGCTTTGGGTTACAAATTTTCTCCCTTCCTCCCTCCCCACCCACGTTCATTGAAAAGGCAAGTATCTCG